GGTCCACGGCGCGCCCCCCTCCCCCGGGGGCCCTGGGCCGGCAAGTACCCGCCGTTTTTACCGCGGAGGCGGTCTGCTGTCTGGCGAAGGTGTGTCTCGATCCGGTCGTCTTCTGCGGGTCTCTCTCCCTTGCAGTCACGCCAAAGAGATTCTCCACTGCTTGAAGGAAAAGTACTTCAAAGAGCTGCAGAACCTAGAGGTAGATGGCCAAAAAGTCGAAATGCCGCAGTCGCTGAGCTGGTAAGTGAGCTGGAAGGGAAATAAGGCGCCCTGCATATTCCCGACATGGAGCCGGACGAATTGGTTGGTTTCTTTTGCCTCTGCCCTTTTTCCATCTCTTTTCCCCCAGGTACCCAGAGGAGTTAGCCTGGCACACTAACTTGAGTAGAAAAATCTTACGCAAGTCGCCACAGCTGGAAAAGTTTCATCAGTTTCTGGTTAGCGAGACAGAATGTGTAAGTTTTGGATTGATCTTGATTTTTTTTTTCCCCTTTCATATCCTGAGCAGTGTTTTATTTAAACGCATTATGAGAAATTGAGACTGCAGCTTTTCTCTCAGAAGTTGAGTGGCTCAGAAGAATCTGGATTTTATGTTGCTGTTGACGGTGACTCTGTCATCCCGTGACTCTGGCACGTAACCGCAGTTACAAATATTTCTCCTAAACTAGTTGCAATTTTTTGTTGTTTGAGAATGTGAAAATGAGTCCCTGTAAAATAATTAGTTGCTGTTAGAAAATAGATGTTTGAGTCTGGTAAAAAGCGCATGTGTGCACATACCAAGACTTACCTTCAGTGGTGGATGGTTCTTACTTGGTTGAAGCCAGTTTCTCATCTCTTGAGCAGAAACTACATCCGTAGAATGAATGAAATTGGAGTAAATATGCAATTATTTCAAATTTCAGTTGAGTGAAATACTGTGATTTTGTTTGTTAAATGCTAACAAAATTTAATCCTAAGTTTATAATAGTGTGTTTTCAATTGTTTTGTCATTTTACTACATAGAGGTTTAAAAAAATTATTGCAAAAGAAATGCATTCTTTTGAAATGGAATAAAAAGGAGTTTGTTCTGGTTTTGTTTTTTCCTTTCAAGGGAAATATCAGTCGTCAGGAGGCTGTTAGTATGATCCCACCTCTGCTGCTTAACGTTAACCCTCATCATAAGGTAACTCTAGAATATACTGTGTGCTAGAGTTTTTTCCTGGAAGATAGTTTGATTAAACTGTAAATTACAACAGCGGTTGATTAAACTACAAATCACAACAGCAGTATCAATGCTGATACGCAATTCTGTTTTGTGTTGGCATGTTTTATGCTTTCTGCATGTAAACCACAGCAATCAACTCGTGTTCAGATCACAAACAGACTGTCAGGGGAACATCTGCTTTTTCAGCTTTACGTAAAATACCCTGTAAAAAACCACTTAGTTTTTAAGTAGTTACATAATCATACTTTCAAAGTGTAAAGGTATTTAACTGCATCTAAGTTATATATTCATGTTTCAACCCCCTTTTAGAGTAAGATGACTGTTTTTAATTTCCTGCTATACATCACACTGTGAACAGATGTAGTTTTCCAGATCCAAACGATAATGTTCTTTATCAGGTAGTTTTCACCCCTCTGTGCCTTTTGAAGAAGTTGCAAACTTCTGCTCTATAAATCTGTTGAGACAAAATAATTTGGGTGAGCTGAAACATGCTGTTGACGGTGGCGAATGAGTATAGATTGCTAACTTTAACTGAGGTGTCTAAGGAGTGCCCGTGATACTTTCTAATGGCAGATGGGGGTATCTGGCAGCAAACTTCCTGTTCTAACCTTAGTGATATTTTCATACACTGCGTTTGTTTGCAGAATGAATCTGTCAGGTGGCCTTATTCTCTTAATCTGTTAAGTTAATGAGCTAGTTAGAAGTGCCTTGCTATCTCAAGCAACCATGTTGTGCACTTTTCTTAAATTTTTCATGACATATCTTGAAAATTTTTCACACTTCTGACCTATATGTTTTAGAGACTCATTCATACGTATTTGTTTTTATACTAACATTAATTACTTAGCATACATAACTTTTCAGTTTATTTTCTCCTACTCCAACCCAATGTATGACACAAGGCTGATGGCTATGTTATGCGAGGCAAGGTCTTCCCACCTCTCTTAAATGAGTAATGAATTGGGTGATAGATCCAGTCCTAATGTGTCACAGGTGCATTTTGAGTTTTGTCTAGAGTTGAACAGGTAGTGAACGTGTTCGACTTAATGTAAAACACAAATTGTGAGAATAGTTTTGCACACACCTTACCTATATTGCATATACTAAGATAGCAGTATACGTTTTTCGCATTGAATGTTTAACTTTGGTGACTATATTTCAACAAGCGCTTTCTAGAAATGCCTGTAAGATTTCACAGATTTCCTCATAAATCAGACTCAGAACAGGTTCTTTATACAGCAAATAGCTGCTGTAACAATGCCTCGGCTGTTGTCATTTAGGACTTTTTATGGTTCTTAGTGCCTTATTTTGTGAGCTGCTTGTTATGACAATTGTTTGTGGTGAATGGAGTTAAATCCAGTTGGCGGCTGGTCACGAGCGGTGTTCCCCAGGGCTCAGTACTGGGGCCGGTCTTGTTCAATATCTTTATCAATGATCTGGAGGAGGGGATCGAGTGCACCCTCAGTAAGTTTGCAGACGACACCAAGTTGGGCGGGAGTGTTGATCTGCTCGAGGGTAGGAAGGCTCTGCAGAGGGACCTGGACAGGCTGGATCGATGGGCCCAGGCCAACTGTATGAGGTTCAACAAGGCCAAGTGCTGGGTCCTGCACTTTGGCCACAACAACCCCATGCAGCGCTACAGGCTTGGGGAAGAGTGGCTGGAAAGCTGCCCAGCAGAAAAGGACCTGGGGGTGCTGGCTGACAGCCGGCTGAACATGAGCTGGCAGTGTGCCCAGGTGGCCAAGAAGGCCAATGGCATCCTGGCCTGTATCAGAAATAGTGTGGCCAGCAGGAGTAGGGAAGTGATCGTGCCCCTGTACTCAGCACTGGTGAGGCCGCACCTCGAATACTGTGTTCAGTTTTGGGCCCCTCACTACAAGAAGGACATTGAGGTGCTGGAGCGTGTCCAGAGAAGGGCAACGAGGCTGGTGAGGGCTCTGGAGAACAAGTCTTATGAGGAGTGGCTGAGGGAACTGGGGTTGTTTAGCCTGGAGAAAAGGAGGCTGAGGGGAGACCTCATTGCTCTCTACAACTACCTGAAAGGAGGTTGTAGTGAGGTGGGTGTCGGTCTCTTCTCCTAAGTAGCTAGCGATAGGATGAGAGGAAATGGCCTCAAGTTGTGCCAGGGGAGGTTTAGGTTGGATATTAGGAAAAACCTCTCCACCAAAAGGCTTATCAAGCACTGGAAGAGGCTGCCCAGGGAAGTGGTTGAGTCCCCATCCCTGGAGGTGTTTAAAAGACGAGTAGATGAGGCACTTAGGGACATGGTTTAGTGGACATGGTGGTGTTGGGTTGACGGTTGGACTCGATGATCTTAGAGGTGTCTTCCAACCTTAATGATTCTATGATTCTATGACCAGAATCACAGGTTATTTTTCACGCTTAACCAGCATGTTCTGCACATCAGGTCTTACATGCTGATTCCTATCTTACACAGAGATCAGCTTGATGATTGTCAAACCTCTCTGTAGTTGTGTTCATTTTTAATCTACTTTTCGCAATTCAGTTTTCCCTCACCATCAATTTGCTGGACAATTTTAGAGCATGTTTAGGCTTGCTTATTCTTCATTATCTTTTGCATTATCTACAAGAGTAAGTAGAAACCGGTAGCATCACAGATGTTACTTTAAACAGCAGATATGATGCTCTCTTACTGAATACGTCTCATGATGCGTTAACACTGCTGTGTGGCAGTGCTTATCACACTCTCTGGAACTGTCTGTAAATGCTCTTTGCATTTCTCTGGGCTCTGTCTTCCGGTTTAGTCTTGTTCATGCCAGGGCTTGCATGAGGATCTGAGCAGATCTGTCCCCATCTTTTTTCCTGTTGCACGATTTCAGCTAACTTTTACTGGAGCTAAAGGTCCAGAAGATAGAGTCATATGGTTCTGAAAATCTGTAACTAGGCAAGAGGAAAGACTCTAAGCTTCC